AAAAAGTAAAAAACTTAAAAAATTAAAAGGATAAAAAATATTTAAAAATATAATTTTTTAATAAAAATATTGTTTTTTAACAACTTGAAACTATGTAAAAAAATATTTTCTTAAACATTAATACTTTTTGAAATAATGAGTGTTCTTCGATAAAAAAATCACCCTGTATATATATACACATCATATTTATATTGTAGAAGTTATATACTATATATACACTGAAGATAATTTTCTTTTTCTCTCCACCGTATCCGTCTCTGGGGACCAATCGACTCCTGTCAAAACCTATATATAATTTATACTATGCGCAATGCTGCTGTCATACACCACACCATTGATAATAATAAGACAGTTATAAATAGGTCGTAATTAATGAGTGTACATTTATTACAATAATCGTTCTATATAATATCGTTGATTATATAATACTCAGATAAGCAATGCCATAGGAATATTCGTTGACAATTAATTTCTGGCAGCCACTACGGAGCGCTGTCGGCAACCGCTGGCAGCCGTTAGAAGCGCTGTCGGCATTCGATAACCGCTGGCAGTCGTTAGGAGCGCTGTCGGTTAACACTGATGGCTGACTGGCTGGTAGTCGTTATTCGTTGCTTAAAATATATTAAGAACAAACATATACGTAAACCACGTACTAACCGATAGAATGGATAATTTAAGTCCATTCTAATACAGATATTATATTATATAATAGCAAGATAACAGACTGCATTTGTATCAACGATACCACAAATCGCTAAACTAGACCGGTTTAAAATTATCCTACATTATCCCGCAGACGTATATACAGGGTGTAACAAAAAGAACTGATCGAAAAAAAAAATTGATAAAATTATATGATTAGTAAATAGTTTAAGAAATATACCCATGTTAGCAAATTGCCAAAAATAATACTTTTAAAAAAGTTATTGCGTTCCAAATTAATTGAATCAAAAAAATATTGATATTTAAAAAAAATTGTAAAAAAAAAAAAACTACTTGACTTAGATAAATGTTTTTACTATCCAAATCGTTCTTATAATCAGATTCACAAATTGGCTATTTTGAATTTAATCAAAAAAATTTAAATCAGTTTAAAAATTTTTTATTTTCGGTATTAAAAAATAAAAATATTAAAAATTTTAAAATATTGATTAGAACAAAAGTTATTCCAAAAGTCAGTTCTATCTGTTACACCTTGTATAGTAACTATCATAATATAGGTACATTATACAATCTCAATGAAAAATAATACTGTCATTGTGTTAATAAAAATTGAAACCGGAACTGAAATTAACTTTGGTTGGTCAATATAATATACCTAAATGTACAGAAGACTAGTTGCATCTTGATTTCACTCGTGGATTATTGTTCTGCTTATACATTTTGTTTGCCAATGAATTTTAGAATTTCTTATTGTACCTAAATTTATTATTTTTTATTACATTTTGTTTGCCGATAAATTTTAGAATTTCTTATTGTACCTAAATTTCTTATTTTTTATTTAAATTTTTAAATTCATTATTTAAATAACATGCCTGGTACAAAATGTCAATATGTGGGATGTTTAAAAACCACTGTAAAGTTTCCCCAACTGCATATGTTTCGTTTCCCAAAGAACGAAGCACAACAAGAAACATGGTTAATGAATTGCGGTAAGCTCCAAAATAATATTTTTTTCAATTATTACATTTGTAGAAGGTTTTGAGGATATTGGTAAAATTGGAAGAGGAAATAAAACTGCCAATACAGCACTTGTTTTTATGGTTAGAGGCATATATTCATCTTGGAAATTTCCTATTGCTTATTTCCTAGCTCATTCTGCGGTGAAATCTAAAACGTTGAAAACATTAATAGTTGATGTTATAAAAGAACTAATAGGTGTAGGACTTTGTCCAAAATTAACAGTCTGTGACCAAGGAACGAACAACCAAAGTGCTCTTAAATTATTGAATGTAAGTGAAGATAAGCCTTATTTTTTTATAGATGAAAATAAAATATTTGCCATTTTTGATGTCCCCCATCTTGTTAAGAGCATCAGGAACAATTTAATAGGTAGTGTTTTTAAAAAAGATGACAAAGAAATTTCTTATACTGATATAATTGATACTTATCAAGTGGACAAAAAAAATAAAAAAAGTAGGGCTCTATTAAAAATAACTGATGCACATATATTCCCTAATTCTTTCCAAAAAATGAGGGTAAAATTTGCCACTCAAGTATTTAGCCATTCAATGGCATCAACAATGCGGACGTGTATACAAACAAAACAATTACAAAATAAAAACGCACAAGATACAGCAGATTTCGTAGACTTCATGAACAAACTTTTTGATTGCTTGAATAGTAGAACTCTTCTAAGTAATAATCCATATAATTGTGCTCTTTCGGATGTGGGAAAAGTGAAACCTTTTTTAATGAAAGCTTCAACATATTTCACAAATATGCATAAATATAAAAAAGGAAAGATGTCTCGTCCTCCCTGTTTCAATGGAATTACACAAACCACTAATGGAATATTGAATCTATTTGAAGAAGAAAAACAAAATGGTATTTTGTTTTTACTTACCAACCGCTTCAATCAGGACATTTTAGAAAATCTCTTTAGTATTTTCCGTCAAAAAGGGGGGTACAACAAAAATCCTACTGCTAGGACTTTGAGAACATCGTTTCGAAGTAATTGTATTTTTTCATTGGTCACTTCAAAAGGAACTAACTGCAAAGCAAATATAGAAGATTTGGATGAAATTCAGTTGCAAGAACAGGTTAGCTTAGTCGTTGAATTACCTCCTCAAGATCCACTATCATCATCATCATCATCATCGTCTTCACCAACACCATCAACATTATCGTCACCTACGCCATCATCATTATCATTGTTGACATCAACATCTTTAAATAATATAGAAATTAAAGAAGAAGAACCGATAACATTAGAAGATTGTTCAGTATTATACTTTGCAGGATATTTGGCTCATAGATGTATTGCACAATTTAACTGTACAAATTGTATCAATTATCTGTTGACAAACAAAAACATTGACGATAAAAACCAATTATTATTATTAAACAAAAATTATACTTATTTAGAAATTCAAAACGATATAGGATTGAAAGCACCATCAAAAGATTTTAATAATATAATAAATAAAGCTCTTACTATTTTTGAAGATAAAATTAAAAATATTTTACATAAAAAAAAAATAAAATCAAAATTAATGTCAATTTTTTATAAGGATTTTGTTATTAATAAATGGATTGATGATGAAAATATAATGTGTAAAGAACATAAAATATTTATTTTAGAAAAACTTTTGATATGCAAAATTTTTAAAACAGCTAAATTATTTTCAACAACATCAACCCAGACAAAAATAGCTAAATTAAAAATTTTAAATCATATTTAATCCAATTTTATTTTCATAAATAGTTTTTAAATTTATATTTTTATTAATTTTGACAAATTGATATATTAATTATGTGTATTATATAATCAATGATTATACCTATAAACTATTGAATTTTATATTTTAATTGAAACATTATTATTATTAACATAACAGTATTATAACGTTTAGTGAATTTTTCTTACTTACCTCTCAATTTTATTTATATTACCTGTTATTACTATTATTTTATACATTACAATATTATGACATTTATGGAGTTATCACATGAACAATTTATTAATATTTAATGATTCAATAAAATTTAATGGACCAATTTATTATTATTTGATTATTAATTTTTTAAGCTACCTATTCTATTAGCTCACTATTGATTCATTAAAATATGTTTAGTAATTGTTCATGCAACCCAGCATTAGTGTAGATATTATTTGTTAACCTACTAAATTGTATTTACATTTATATAAATTGTTGACAATTTTAGGACAAATTGTATTTTATATGTTAAAAAAATTTTTATTATAATTTAAATGAAATAATTAATTTGATTCAAATATACAAAATATAGGTACCTATATATAGTGAATAGTGATTCACTCACCTTATACAAGAAAATTCCATTCAATAACTCACTATTGATGTATTGATTTATGTTCTTTAATGTTCAAGTTACAACAGTCTACAGAATATGAGTATTTCCTATTTAGTTTATAAATTATATTTTGAAGACAGTCAGTAAACTCGTGGCCCGTGGTCTGTTGTATTATATAATAATATAATATTAAATTGTCATCAATGGTTATACCAGGTTATACCATTGATATCATTCAATATATTAATTAATAGTGGTCACAAATGCAACAGCGACATCTCGTGAAAATAAATTCAACTATAATTCTAGTCAACGAATATTCCTATGGCATTGCTTATCTGTGTATTATATAATCAATGGTACGGGCTAACATAAAAACGTTCCCCTGAACAATTACAAAAATTTCGTTGGAACCTTTTCATTCTGAGACGACGATATGTACTATGTGCACATACTATTTATAGGAACAAGACACCTAAGCATAGTATAATATATTAATATATTCATGGTATTTAGAATCAGTATCTCTTCGTCGATCTAGTCAAAACATAATCTTAGCTGGCTAGGAATTCAGTTAATAATAAATAATAATAATACGCTGAAATGTATTATAGATAATAACGAAAGAAAACTTGTACAAAAAACGATAAGAGATTATGGGGAACGACGACCCTTGCACATTCCATAGACACACAGATTAGTTATTACCTATGATGCTTAGTGGAGTTAGTAGTTCTTACATGTAGGGCGGGGGTGGATGGCAGTTGCTGATAGCTATTTTGCATCAGCGGGTGTAGTGAGTGATGCGGATGCGGCGATTGGGACGGGCCAGCACCGGCGTTAAGCCAATCGTTGCTGTCGGCCGCGGTCGGCGAGTACCAACCGACGGTGGCTGCGGGGGTGGAAGTGGCACCAAAGTTATTGCTGCTGCTGTTACTATTGCTGTTGCTGCCCGCCACCAGCTTTTGCCAGTCGGGTCGACTTCCATCGTGCCCGGCCCATTCCTAGCTGGTGCGTTGTATTTTGGCCGGACCACCTGCAGCACCAGCTTGGCGTTGTTTTATTTGTTCGTCGTGCTTTGACACAATTTTTATTAATTGCGGCAAAGCATGCGTGACATCTCGTAGCATGGCCATGGGTGTTTCAGCCGGGTACTTCGACCCGAGGAGTCCATTTTTCCTCAACAAGGCCAACTGCTCGCTGTCAAACAAACGACGGGTGCAATTTATTAACCTCTTCCGAACACTGTTGGATGAGTAGTAAGAGGGATAATGATTATTAAAAGGAGTAACAGACACTTACGAATTTCCAGTGAATATTGTCGTTTTCAAGTATTTGTTTAAGGTGTAAGCGCATCTCTCGACTGAGCACGAAGGCAACATCATCCTGACTAAATCTTTTAATGTGACCATCAGATTCGAATAGATGTATGGTTTTGCGTTTATGCAATTGATCACTCTCCCTTCAAGTGTTGCCCTTTGGATCTGTGTTAAATATATACATATATGAATTGTATGAAATGTATTATAATAAATTTAAAAACAAATTTTCGGTATTCTATACTGGGTGATTCTTTTATCAAACAACACTCATTATTTCAAAAAGTGTAAATTTTTTTGAAACATTTTTTTACATAGTTTCAAGTCGCTTATAAAACAACGTTTTTATTAAAAAATTATTATTTTAAATATTTTTATCCTTATAATTTTTTAAGTTTTTTACTTTTTTGAATAACAACATAGGGTTTTAATTTTATATTCCAAAGCAGAATTTTTTTCTTAGTATTTTGATACATGAAAATCGAATTTGGGTTGAAAAGTTTATGAGTTATAAATATTCAAAGTTTGATGAGCCAAACCACTCCACTCCGTTCGTCTAAACTTTAAATACTTATAACTCGTAAACTACTGGCCTCAAATTCGTTTTTAATGTATCAAAATACTAAGAAAAATATTCTACTTTAGAATATAAAATTAAAACCCTATGTTGTCATTTAATAAAGTAAAAAACATAAAAAATTATAAGGATAAAAAATATTTAAAAATATAATTTTTTTATAAAAACGTTGTTTTATAAGCGACTTGAAACTATGTAAAAAAAATATTTCCAAAAAAATTTACACTTTTTGAAATAATGAGTGTTGTTTGATAAAAGAATCACCCAGTATAGCAAATAAATCGAAATAGTAATTTGTTGTGTTAATACTATACTCTGAATTTAATTTAACAACATACAGGCCTGTTACTTATTGCTATATCGCAATTGATCAAATAATAAATGTTGAAACAATTGTAAGAAGTTAAAAAATATTCCACAAATATTAAGTTATAGAAAATATAACTTTTTTACCAATTTTAAATACTGCACACACATCTAGTTTACATAAAAACTACACAAATTTAAATAATCATCCTAAATAAACTAATATCTATTAATATGGAAAGTTATATTTAAAAAAAAAAAATATTTGTGTAAAACAGTCAATAATATTTAAATATTATTAATTTAAAGATTAACAAATAGTACCTATTTTATGTTTATTAATGAACATTATAAACTTATCTATGTTGTACAAAATTGGCTGAATTGATGCTCATACTATTTTTGTAAATAAATATATATTTGTTTAAAAAAAAAAGGTATAGAGTATCAAGATGTTATATGTAATGGAGGTATGAAAAATAATAATAATTTTATTCTAGGCCCCAATAAATGTAGTCAATCTTAAAATATTAAATATCATTAACCTTGTATGCAGAATTATTAACTGTGTCATGTGCCAACATCCGTTCTGGTATTCTCGTAAATTCATATGAAATATTAGGACGACGAGAATTCTCCTGCGCAGCTAGAGGAACAGGGCTGGACGGTGGGGACAATAAGTCAATGATTTCTATGGGTGGAGCAATTGCAACAGGCCCACCATTCCTTAATGTGCTGCGTTGTTGTGTGTTGGTTAAATGAGCATGCACAGATTTGCCACTATTTGACTGCTGAGTTTGACGACTAGTAATTATTTGTTGTTGTTGCAATTGTTGTTGTTGATCTTGACTATTGTTAGAACTTTGAATGTAGAATAGTGTCATTTGACTGGAATGAGACATAACATTACCATTTGTCATTGGATTGTACATAGTTGATATACATTGGCTAATAGGCACAGCGTTAGAGTATGATACGGTATTACTATAAGTATGGCAGAAAAGTTATAGGATTTGCATGTTTTATTCTGGGCCTCTATTTTATAGCAAACCAAGACATAAATATAAGTCATAGGCCCCACAGTTGAAATCTAAAATTTTTGTTTGCATATTTTTGCATATTTTTAAGATTTAAAAAAAAAATTGCATACTTCGTTATTTTGTGCATACTTCATGCATATTCTACATAAAAACTGTATGGTATTATTATATACTGTATAGTATATATATATTGTACACCACCCGATGCCCGTGTAGACTATGTACTATATTATAGGTACCCACATATTTTAGGTGGGCATTCGGATAATGTTATCAAAGATAAGATTTGACTGATTTTCATTGAAGTATCTATATTAAATTTTATATTAACATTATTATGTGTCCAGAGGCCACTGTCCGTCAGTAATCCTGTTAGTATGGTGTTAAGTGTCGTTCGATACGAAACTGCGTGCCATTTGTTGTGTTTTCCATGCTTACATTTTTTTTAAAATATGTTTTCTACTCACATTTTGCACAATGCCAAAAATAAATGCAAATATATTTAACAAGTAACAAGTATGTGAAACAGTTTGGCGAAGATACATTTGCTACCGATGGTACTACCTATGCTTTATTGTAAGATTTGCAAAGTTTATTTAAAATAAAATTAATTGTGCAATGCAATGATTTTTATATTTCTTTTATATCTAATTTTTTTTATTTTACTAAATTATAATTTAATTTTTTTGTGCATATTATCTTGCATATTTAATGAATTTGAATGCATATTTTCAATTTTTTATGTGCATAATATTATGCAAATATTATTTGCATGCATATTTTTCCAATTTTACCTCCTATAACTTCTCTGCCCTAACTATAAGCATAAAATATTTTTTTTTCTGTTTTTAGATATTTACAAATTTGATTATTGGTATTATTTTGATAACACTTACCCACTTATTGGTGTCGTATTGCCTGCACTGACTAAAGGTGGTGGTGGTACAACATGACCCACACTGTTTACCAAACTGCTGAGAGACATCGTTGAACCCTGAAAATCCAATAAAAACTAAATATTAAAAATTGTTAATTTACTAATATATATTACATAGCCCACAATGTAATATTAATACCCACCATTGAATTCAAACAATTAATTTTATATCACACATGCAAAACTTGTAGTCAATACTTTTAGTAAATTATAAATTAACTTTAATAAAGTATCAAAATATATTAAATTATAAAATGATCCAACATATTAACAGCTGGACTCGTCATTTTAAAACAATTTAAAAGAAAAGAAAAGCTATATACTTTATTTTATAATTATTATTTATTAATATATGAACAATACTTTTAGTCAACAAAAACGTGAAAAAAAAAAACTTTAATTCCTTGCATTACCAACTGAGGAATGACAATAATTAATCCATTAGTTTCTAAAAATTATTTGTGTCAAATAAAAATATAAGAATGTTATTTCTTTAATGGAGAAAAAATTATAAAATACAAAATAGTTTAGAGCGTGAGCTTTGAACTACGTATAATTTGTTGAGTATTTTTATATAAGGGTTAGGAATAAGCGGAGAAAAAAATTAAGAAAGTTGAAAAATAAGTACCGCATTATAGCACTGGGCAGCTATGCTTTGATTTCTGGATGTAATAGAATAGCCACTAGTTGATGGTGACTGGGCATGAGTGCTAGATGAATAAACCTGCAAAAATATTATTTATTTATTGAGAATACAGACTTATAGTAGAGAAAAAATTGTTTATTGAAAAACATGCACGACACCTATGTCACACCACTGTGAAGTATAATTAAATAAAACAAATGATTATGATATTCATAATTGATAATGATAATTATAAGCATAAAATAAATGATACATTTGAATACATTGTGAAAACACAATTTATTTTGAAGAACAAAAAATAAAAAAAGCCATAATAATAAAATAATAAAATTCATACCATTATAATAATTAAATGAAAGCAAAATTTCAAGTAAAAACTAGAAAGCCTTTAAACCATATTTCCCATATTTATATAATTTTGTTAGTTAAAAAATATATAACTATTGATTGATAGACCTTTTTGTTTATAGATAATTATTTATTAATATTTAATAGTTAATACTAAAAATAATTATAAGCATAAAACAAATATTACATTTGAATACATTGTGAAAACACAAGCAACAATTTATTTAAAGAACAAAAAATAAAAAGCATTTTAATATAATATACATTTATATAATATATAACATAATTCATACCATTTGGTTTGCAGGCCTTCCGTTTTTATATGTGTTCACCATAGCTGGCATACTCGGTGGTAATGGTGCTGATGCCTTTAAAGTGTGAGCAATAGTATTTTCAGCAGGTATTACTCCAGTAGGGGCTCTGATCCAGACACCCGGTGGATTTACATGGGTAGACTTTTGATTATTTAAGAGATGTATATCAACCAAATTAGCTGGCCAATAATCCTCAAAATTAGTTTCTGGTGGAAAATTATTTTTGATACCCTCAAGACTGGTCACTTTGCATGAGTCACTGGCATTCAACTCATTTATGATACCTTGAACCTTACAACAGAACTTCAGATAGGCTAAGTTCCAATTTTCTGATTTTAAAGTTTGTTGTCTTAGGTTTTCGGTTTCGCCTTCAAAGCAGAAAAGTGGGACATATTTTTGGTTATCTATGATAATATATGGCACGAACGAATCAGAGTTGATGCGAATATAACCACATTTCTCAACGAGGCCTGGAGTAATTTCGCACTTTAATTTTTTATAACATACTTCCATGAACGTATAAAATTCAAGAACATCTTCCAAACTCACAATATAATCTTTTCCTGCAAGAAACACTTCTTTCCCGTACATACGGTCGGTATGTTTTTTGTTGATATCATTTAATACTTTAGCTTCAGATTCAGTGACAAAAAGGCTTCTTACATTTGTGCATGTATAAATATCAGCATGTAAATAATGTAAATAGTTTTTGAGTAGCTGTGTTTCTGCCATACGTACAGATACAAACTTTAACTGTTCACCATTGATCACTCTAATAATGTAGGGTACATAGTGTCCAGCAATTAATTTCCATGAAAATCTACCTATATTGCATAAAAAAAACATAAAATATAGTGTTTTCATGGAAAGTTTCAAAACAAGAATTTAACCCCTGATTGCTTACCTTTAATACTTTCTACATCTTCACAATCTTTGGGTAATTTGTCTTGATTTGTTTGACTGTTATCCGTTGTAATTGGTGCATTAGCCAATGTTACTGCTCTAGCGGCTCTGTTTATATTAACATTTGCCGGAGAAGCAAGTTGTTGCTTTGCTGCAGCTGTTGCAGTTTTTTGATAATTTTCTTTCATTTTGAGAGCCATAGCATTTATTTCAGCATCATCGTGTTCATTTTTTACACTCATCCCTGTAATTTAGTTTTAAAATTATGTTTTAATATAGGTAATTGAATTATAGGTAGGTATTATGAACAATAAAAAAAGATATTTTATGGACTTTAAATGTTAACATTTTGAATAATTAAAATTACAAGAACATTTTTTCTTTTTTTTTTTTATAATATACTTTTGCTGAAATCCATGCATACTAAAAACCAATAAATAATATCATGTCCAAATATTATTTAGAAATTATCATAATGAATTTATGTTACAAAGTGACCAAAATTCTTATACATGTACATGTATTATATTATTAGATCTCGTAATCATAGTGATCATTTATCAATAGGAGTAAATATTAAATATTCCAGTATTATGATTTATAATAACATGTACATAGAATATTGATAATTTATAATATAGATATAAATTATGATAGGATGCTAAAAACTGCATTATTTACTTTATGAGTGCAATAAAGCTGTGATGAAGTTAAAAAAAAATTTGATAATCAAAAGAATATTAGTTTAGTCTTATGGACTACTTTGTCTCAAGTTGCTTTCACTAGACAAATAAAAAAAAAAGGCCGTTATGTATCTTATATTTTAGTTAATCATTAAAAATTGATAACAGACTATACCTACATATTTAATATTTATATTTTAACTATTTGTTTTGAGATTATATAAGTTATAACTAGAGCGCGGTTTATTGAAATATTTATAGTTATTTATTATTTATTTCGTATATTTATGGTATTAGGCCCCAACACATGCTAATAACGATAATAATAACAACAATATCGAATAAATAATAAATTATAATAATCAATATTAATCAAGATAACTAAACCGAGGACGGTATAGTAGTGGTGGGTCGTTACTGCTGTTTTCGGTACAATGTAATGATTACATTGGTGGAACGAGTACATTTATCGTTCCACGTTCGTTCATTCGGTACTTTCAGTACAAAGTTACCAACTACAAAATGGTCCCCATCAGGGTATACCGACATCATAGAACAGTATAGAAGCGAAACTCGATCAGCTGATTGGGGTATTGGTTCCCTATGATCTGAAGTCTGAACCTACGAAAAACATGGAATTGGTTCCCGCACCAACATGATGTTAGACCCGTTAATTATAAAATTGGTTCCAAGACTAAGGCGGGATACGGGACGCGGGGTTTTCACGTATGCCACGCCCTCCTGAAGACCGTGTTCAAGGCCGCAATCGCCTGGTTCAGCCAACGCACGGAGTTTCGTACCCCTGCCGACATCGAATCTGTATCGAATACTTATTACCGACAGTGGTCGAATAGTAACGAGTTGTCACGATTATAGAATGTTATTATAATATAATATTTTGTATGATTAAAATAATATAAAAATATTAATATAAAATTATGTTGATATTTTTGAACGGTAATTTATTATTAAATGCTATTATTTAATTTTTAATTTTTACCATATAAATATTTTAGGCTTAGGCAAGTACCTAAGTTAATTTTGGAAGTTCCAGTTTAGTTTTTTTATTAGTATTTTTTTTTTTCGAAGTTAAAGTGAAGTGATTTTTTTATGTTTATATTTTTATAATTATTTCTGCTGAAAATAAATATGCATATTGCTTTATTGAATATGTTTTTTTTCGAATAGGTAGTTTATTGTAATTGCACCAATTGGAATAGTATTAAAAATGGTGGTAATTTTTGATTAGTCATTTTAAGTGTATATTAATTATACATGTATATTGTATAATATATTATACAGTAAAACAGTTTTGTATAATGGGCCTACGAACTACGAAGTATATTCGTTCATAAATATCCATTGCAAGAACAAGTATACATTTGAATATAATATGTATTTTGATCGTTCCGTGCGGAACAATACAAAATATGTGAGTACAAGTGTAACTAAATAAAGAATGTGCCGATTGTACCGATGTAAAGAGTATTTTGGAATTGGTAGGTACTTTATTGTAACTGTACCGATTGGAACGATTCCACAAAACAACGATAATTCCCACCACTACGGTATAGCCTACAATCTTGTCTAATATAATAAAAAAAATTAAAACCAAATTACGTTACGTTATATTGTTATAATCATAGATTTAATATCGTTACCTTTGTTTGCTGAAACTCGGTTTCTTGTAGAAGCCATTTTTGAAGTGATCGTTGAGTCGTGGGAAGCGAGGGGGCGATAAATTAAGTTATTTGACAAAAATAATATAAAGCCTCGGTAATGGCCTTTAGAAAAAAGTATTAAAAAACTGGCGAAAAACCAACTACGGCGACAACTGTATAAATATTAAATTACAATATTATGTTAATAATTATTCGATGAACTACACGGAACGGGTGTGCGCAGTGCTGTCGGTGGCCAATTCGAGAACAACGGGAAACCGTAGAACGATGTGAGAGTGTCGGACAACGAGCTACGGGCGGCAATGTCGACGGACGAGTGACGAAGGCGAATATGCCAGCTCGTTTGCCAGCTCGTTGGCGCTGTGGTTCGGTGGACGGGCAGCGGGTCGCGGAGCTCGCCAACACAACGACCTAATACCAGGCGCCCGTTGGCGTGTTCGTGAGTTTGCTTGTGTGTGCGTGCGTTGGTGTGCGAGTGTGTGTGTGTGTTGCGCCAAGTGAAATCGTCCGAACAAAGACGGAACCAGGCGGACGGGTAGCCTCTAAGCGAGGTACGTACCGAGATAGCACTTGCCGCGACCCGCACCCACTTCCCGACCAACAGCGGTAATGCGCCGAACGACGGGCCAGCTGAATCCAACGTTGCCGGCCCGTCGCCCGTCTGCTAGTAAGACCCATTAGGCGGCGACCCCACTGACTAGTACCTCGATAGAGGCTACCGACGCGCCGAGCTCGCATGGCTCAAACAGTATACCAACACGGGAAATTGTGTTCTATGTATTGAAACAATAATTATGATAAAGTTTGAGAGTGTTAAGTCCATAAGTCCACCACTTTCTTTCCCCTTCGTTTTTGGAGAAAAATGGCTATGACCTAATTTATTATTTCTTTGAATACCACTACGACGACGCCCCCTCCGATTCCCGGTAATTGAGCGACGCTAACGTTGTGCCGTAATAATTAGTGATGGGCAACGATATCGATACTTCGATACGATATCGATATCGTTTTGTATTGTATGATATATTGTGATATCGAAAATAATATTTTTTCAGGAAAAATACATGGTATTTACTATTTGACATTTGCATATAGCTATAATAAATTAATAAATAATAATAGCCATTATCTGATAACGTTTGGTTCACGTGTTCCGGTTAAATGTCAATTATTGTACAATTTTTCTAGGATACAGCTATCACAGTTATCACAAAAGGGTTAACATAAAATATAAAAATGTAAAACAAATGTAACAAAATGTATTACAAATTTATTATAAATAAAAATAACTAAGTAATAAGTAATAACTTATAAGTATGTATAATAATAAATAATAAATATTAATAAATACGAAAAGTTTTTTTTAAATTTTTTAGGTAAACATAAAATTATATTTATGATACGATATCGATATCGTAGAAATAACGTATCGAGATACAATACCGGAAAAATCTGAAAGATATCGATACAGAAAACTATATCGTTGCCCAACACTATTAATAATATTAATATCGTTGCATTGAAGAACTGTGGCAGAGTCGCATTTTTGGTCATGTAATCAAATGTTCAAAACCGGTGTAGAAAAATAAACGCACTTTCATAAAGAATTTATCCTAACATACCATAATATATGTATATATGAAATATAATCATTTATAAAAATAAAAATAATTATCAAAAATTATGTGTTATGTACTTATATGTATTAAAGTATGATTTGACGTCTCTTTTAAAACGTTCAAATGGGACGTCACTCGTCTTTATAATTTTTTAGACGCTACCATCGTTCTGCCAATAATATGAGTATTAATATACATATATCTAACAATTTGAATAACAACTTTGATTATTATTAAATTTAACCTTCACTGCTGGAGATTCATGCGTGAGAATAACTAAGTAGATGCGATGTATAGACGATAAGTGTGCGGTCGACGTAATAAGACTAGAATTATTTTTTTTTCGTCAGGCCTGCACCAAAATTTTAATTTTAAATTGTAAATATTGGAAAGTTGGTAAATTGGCTTTTTTTCCGGTGTACAGTACAAATACCTATGACTAAATTATCCCATAATCCCATAATCCCAGCTATAAATTACCCTGGTGAACGAAATATATTCTAGCTTCTAAATGTACCTAAAAAAATGTACGGTGAGGTGGGTGGGAGGTGGGGCCGGTGGGGGGTTGTCGCCCTCAACCCTCTCCCATTTTACGCTTATGGATAGATATAATTACTATAACGCCGTCGCCATCACAATATCATAATATTTGATAAAAGCTTGAGATTATTAATTCGAATATTGCCGTGTGTTACGAAAATATTCTTATATTGGACGTAGGTGAAGTTTTTGAGGTTGAGTGGAGAGTGACTGACCTTAAATTGTTTTGCATTCATTGGTCCAAAAACCTATCGCTACGCATTCCATTGACTTAATCATCAACATTACAATATAATATTATATGACACGCGTAACCACGTTGAAATACGGCCATAGTTGCAGCATTTCTTCTATCTGGGTCCATCATGACCTTCTGTGATGCAATTTCGTCTCATTCGTCACAATCTGGTGGTGACGAGTACCTAGTCATCCGATATTGACTGTTACATAATATTATATACTGTAAAATATTTTTAATAAAAATTCGATTGATTTATATGGTATGATTTATAATTTAAACTATATTATAGTCTATAGTTACATTATTATATACAAATATATGTATCTCAACAAATCCCTTCGTAAACTACTTGTAAAAAAAATATAAAAGATCTTTAAGCACTATAAAAATGTGATATCATGAATAAATGGTAAGTACCTATATTGAATTTAAGTGAACTTATTGTATTTCAATAGTTTATTTACTTGGCGAGGAATTATTGCTTAAAAGAAACAAAGTTTGATGAACAAAATAATTAAATGGCGAAGGACTATTAAAATATCATTTATTATCATTTAAAAAATATTATTATTAATATTAAATTTATATACTAATTTAAACAATTCCTCGCCAAGTAAAGACATTATTATTATTAAGATCGGACAACAATATTGTTTGTGTAAATACTGAGTAAATATTGAGTATTTAAACAATGATCTAGGTATAAGAACGGTAATATTATTCATAGTACTGTAACTTTGTCATTTTTTCCCAGATGACTAGAAAACAAACATTGGCAACGCTGTTGCTAAGACGACGACGACAACGGTTACCTACTTTGATTCTGAATTAAATATAAATGTCCATTAAAAAGTTCACACTTTTTCATTTATAACTTAATTTCTAAATGTATGATTTTTATAATTTTTACAAAAGCACATTCTACACAATATTTTTGATGTTTTGGAGTTTACCAGGAGTTAATTGATGCATTAGAAAATTAATTATGTCGCTGAACAAACTAACCCGTATTTTATACAGTTTAAACTCCAGCTTTGATATAATATACACACACGGTCGTACATTTATTTTTTTTTTACTTATCTCGCTTCACGACCATGGTGTTGGATTTATTAAAATATAAATTATGAACGTTTAACTTATCAAAAATAAACAGTACCTACAATTATAAGAACGTATTTTTATAATACTTTAAGGTTTAATGCATGGCGATTGTAGTGAATGTCCTCTTTCTCACCCCCCCCCCCCCCCTTCCACGACATTCACAATGTTCAACATAATATAATGTAATGTATGTTTGAATATTTCAACAAAAACACTAAATTAAAAGCCTTTCTAAAAAAAAAAAATTGAAGTTAGAAAGTTGTGATGTCAAAAAGGGACTAAGTAATTACTAATTTCTTAAATTAATTAGTAGGTACCTATATAATTGGTTAAAATTCTTAGTATTTAATGAAGTGCTCTAATTAATACAAATAATTTAACTTGATTTGAAGGTTTCTCATAGTATGTACCTACTTAGTTATGATAATATCGCAGTGTGTACAGTGTACCTACACTGTACATTATAGTGTAATAACTAAAAAATGTTTGATTTTGAGAAAATAATGTTTTGAAGTTGTTTATATCTTAACTCACTGATAAATAAAAAAATGATTTAAATTTTGGTAGTTTATTATTAAAAGTGTTTAAAACAAATGTACTATGTTTAAATATACTATTTTATATTATTATCGTGAACTATTAATAATTGTTCCTCCTAAAAAATCGACCTACTCTGGTCAATGAAACATTCAAAACACGAGATGTTGTACTAAACAAAATGAAGAACAGATTTTTAAAACTTATTTGTAAACCAATTTTATTTGCATTTTAAGTTAGTGAAAATTCTATTAAAATCGACCTACGACCTTATTTGTAACTAAAAATAATCACAGTTAATGTTAAATTAATTTTATTGTTATTCAGAAAAATTTTATTATGCCTAATAAATTGATTGTATTTATAAAATGTTATTTTCAAAAGATGGTGGGACTATAGTTTATAATGTTTTGAGCACATGAAATATATTCTATATAGCTTCTAAATGTATCTAAAAAAATCTACGTGGGGGGGGGCTATACCTCCCTCAGGAGTATGTAAGCGTTTACAAAACGGGTATCGTCCAAGACCTGTAGACCACACATACCGTACAAATATTTTAAGTACGGTCAAGTGATGTATATAGTGTAGGTACAATCTTCTTGTCGTATAGGTCTTCATATTCCCTTCCCTTCCCAATTTGTATGGCCTTGTCTGAAGGTATAGGTATAATAATATATGTATACTGAATCGACATGAAAGCCTGAAACAGAAAATAATGCACTCAATATATTCGGAGGCAAAATGGATGGAACCGTGTGCGATCGAGTATTTGTTTTGTATTATGTATGTCTTATATCTATAATTAATGAAAAAAACTGCCCACCCACGCCGCATTGTAAAGTAGGTACAATATGGATCGCTGTCCCACCCAGTGCAAAACAATAATTTATCGAATATCTTTCACGATAATATACTGTTAGGGGGCGAGCATTATTCTTACGATAAAAACGTGTCGTTCGGTATATACTATAC